TTTAAGCTGATACTGTGATACTGTCAACGGAGGCAACACCTCGAATCTGATGAAACACCTGGCGACGCATAGCGTTTTTTTAAAAGCCAAGAAATGCACCGTATTTGATAGCTTGCTGCGAGACCTCGCACCGAGCACATCTACTGCGGGTGTGGTGCCTGTTATTGGACCTGGAGTTAGAACATCCCCCAAAAACCCGAAGAGGAGAGTCCTGGCCCCGCCCTGCCAGTGTAGCAGAAATGATGAGGATGATGATGCAGCAGCAGCCGTTCTTCTCTGCGTGAGTAGCTTAATGTTGTTCGTGTGTAATTTACGTTGAGTAGGCTAACCACGTTATTACATTAATGCATGTAAGGTGAACTAGCAAACATCATCATAGCTACATGCGGCTGTCTTCTTGTTTGATGGCAGATACTCCCTTCACCCTGGCCAAAAAGGCTAAAATGACCAAAGAAAAAGAGGGAAACAGCTAAACATGAGAGGTTTAGGACAAAGTTTGTGTTTTTTCCATTGTGTAAGCACTGCTTCCAGCCAAGAGTGATACCATATATGCCCCATAGCTGCAGAAAAGGCTAACATTGTTATCTTTTTACAAAAAACCAGCTGAACATGAGAGGTTTTTGGACCAATTTTGTGTTCTCCATTCCTTAAGCTAAGTTTAAGCACTGGTTCGAGCACCGTTTAAGCACCGGCACAGTTTCAAAAGTATCGGTTTGGTACTGGTATCGGATAAAACCTAAACGATACCCATCCCTACTCTTAATGATCTGTTGTTGTATTTTTCTTTTTAAATGTTATATACTTATGTGGTACATCTATTTTTGACATTTGTTGCCATGTCTCTTTTGAAAATGAGATTTTTAATCTCAATTAGATTTTTACCTGGATAAATAAAGGACACACGGCTTACTTCCAGGACTTTCTGTGTTTTGTTCTTTCTTTGGACTCGTGGGCCCCTGATTCTTTTCTTGATTCCTTCGCTTTCCTTTCTCTGTCTTAGTCATGTCTTTACATTTTGTCTGTCTTAACTGTTCCCATTTTTCTTCAGTTCCACTTCCCCTGTCTTGGTATGGCTATGTCCCATGTGTCCCACTTGTTACCCCTCAGTTTATACATTGTCTCTGTTTTCCTTGGTCCTGGCTCAGACGCCTGTTCACTAACTGTGTATCCATGTTCCTACTGTTCTAGTTTACCCAGTGTTGTCCCAGTTTACATATTAGTTACTCAACAAAAGGCAGCCAACAGCTGAGTTGAACTTCATTCATGTTGTAGGCATTTGGGTTGGTCCTCACTATCCACTCCGCACAGTCTGCCTCCCGCAGGTCGTTACAAGCTAAATGAGCTAAATGAGACCTCCTGGGCTCTCCACCCTTTATGGGACCCACCTAAAACAATCAAGCACCGGTGGATCATCTGGCAAGTGCTTCCTCCTATTACAGGCTGGAAGTGAGGGTAGGCCATCATTTAGTCCCGCAGCCTTGCTGGTTCTCCTTTGATTCTCCAGAACCAGTAGTGCCTCCAGCCTGAAACAGTCTGAAACACAGAAAAAATTTGTGAAATTTTGTGAAATATTTATTTCAACAATAACAGATTATCATTTTTAAAATGCTTTCATATGTTCCACAGTTTGATCATTTTTTATTTTTTCATTCTGTGGACAACAATGTGCATAAATGCAGATTCATTGCTAAATAAATCAACTTTTGTAAAGTTAAGTTATTGAGTACACAAATCCTTTGCAGTGTCTTAGGCAGCGTCCCATGTTTTGGAATTAGCTTTAGCCCTTCGACACACTGGTGACCTGTCCAGGTTCCAGGTTGTACCCCGTCTCTTGGCCTGTGGCAGCTGGGATGCACGCCAGCTCCCTCTGACCCTGATTAGGATGGATGGGTCTTTGTCATGGTCTGGGTGAGCCACCTGTGTTTTTCCACTGCCTCCCTGTGCATCTGTCCCTGGGCGGAGTCCACATCACTTCACCTGCTCTCCTCACCTGATCGACATCCAGGACAATCAGCAAGGCAGTATTTAAGACCAGCGTTGATATTCCGTCTTCGCCAGTCCATCTGTTAAGCTCTTGTGAGTAACAAGCAGTGTTGGTCAAGTTACTTGAAAAAAGTAATCAGTAACTAATTACTGATTAGTTCCCCAAATAAGTAATCCCGTTACTTTACTGATTACTTATTTTCAAAAGTAATTAATTACTTAGTTACTTTTTAAAAACACGATTTACAACCTGAATAGGTAATAAAGCGATAGATCTTTCAGCCCAATTCTACTTTTTCTACATAATCCATCATACAAAATGTAATTAAATGGAAAAGTCTCTTTTTAACTTGTTTTATTCGTTTTAATCTTTTAACTTCATGCATCAAGCAAACATTTAATTATATGCAACATTCTCTGAGTTGAATAAATTAGTTTAACATTTAAACCTATTTTCTGCACATTCCAGCACATAAAATAAAATATTTTTTGTGTTTACACTCAGTCTTTCAAATAGATGCAAGTAAAACACAGCAGAAAATAAAAAAGTCAAAGACTCAGTGGTCCTGTTGCTCTATTTTCACCTGTAAAGCAGGAGTGGGGTAGGCGGAGGTTTACCCTGGTGCAGGTGTGCCGCGGTCAGTTGAAGAATCCGCGAGTTCTCTGTGAGTTTCCCGTACGTCGTAGCTACTCGGTGCTGCTCAGAAGTTTAGGGTTTTTTTTCGCTGTAAAAGAAGTTTTCTTCCCACGCACAGCGGACACTAATGTTTTTGTCACTTTTTATGGAATCAAACTCAAAGTAAGGTCAGTACTTCCACGCTTTAAACGCTGCACGCTCATACTCTCTCCTGCACTCGATATATGATCCATTGTTGATCTGCACACAGCTGTTGTCACGAATGTCGCACTCGCTTACGTCACTGTCATGAGACATTCTCGCAAAAAAAATCACGGTTTAGTAACGCAGTAACGCAGCGTTCCTACGTGTATTTAAAATGAGAGATGGGCAACGACGCCAGGGTGAGGTGTACACCCTGATGGTCTTTGGAGTCCGTGTAGCGTGCCCACCCCAAGATCCTATATGTATGTGTAATGAGAGTGTGAGTAATGTGAATGTCTAAATTGTGAGATAAAATTGAGGCACAGGCAGCCAGAAGAGGACAGAGGGGGGGATGCCTCCCCTGCACCTGGTGACATACCCTACTCCAAGGCCCTGCATGTGTGGGTGATTGTGTGGAGCGGAAGAGGGAGGCAGCTGGAGATGGGAGGGAAGGAAGGGAGGCAAGTGACCCCTCCTTGGGCCAGCTCCCCGCTGACCCCAGTAGGCACCCCATACTCCGCAACCCGCCAGGGAAAGGGCCAGGCCCATCCACTTCCAAAACAGAGCTACCTAGATCACTTAAATTACACAATTAAAAGCATGAAAGCATATGTGTATTGTTTGTGTATTTATACACAAGCATTCATATATAGTCAAATAATAAAAAAGAAAAAAATGTTCATTTACCTGTTACTACCACACACCAAATCCGGTCGTTGGTACTTGCTGGCTTGTGTAGCCACCAGGTAACAAAAGCTCAACACTGCCCCCTAGCATCCTGGAGCACTTCTGTTTTCTTTTGTACGTGTTTTGGAGTTTTCACATGTTTTGGAGTTTGTGCGTGTTTTGGAGTTTGTACGTGTTTTGGAGTTTGTACGTGTTTTGGAGTTTGTACGTGCTTCAGGGTTTGTACGTGATTTGAAGTTTATGTGCTTTGTCTGTAGGGGCCACCGTAAATGTACTTTTATTTATTCACTCCACATAAAATGTAATAAATAAATAATATAATACCAAAATCAACTATTCACATTTCAACTTTTAACTATTAAAATTTTCATCTTTTTCCTTTTAAACAAATTTAAAGTGAAACAACACAAAACACTGCAAACCACAACACAATTAAATATAAATTATAATATGAAAACAAAAAGAAGATGCACATTCTCTGTCATATGGACCTGCATGAATAAACTTTCTGAATCCTTTATCATCTGCAACTGAAAATAGTTGTGGATGATTACTATACCTTTCTAATGTGACGTTGTTGTCCCTGGCTCTTTCTCTCTCTCCCTCCTGATCTGTTCCCGTGCTACTGAGTGTAACTACCGCCCCTCCCCCTCTTCCCAGCGTAAGGCACAATAAGGCCATCTGGGAAGGCTCGCATGCTGAGTGGAGCAGAAAAAAAGTGCGAGAGAGAGAGAGAGAAAAACAAAACAAAACACGGCTCCCAATAAGGAGCCAGCTCGCGTCGTTCATGTCAAAGATCCGGCTCTAATGGTGTGTTCACACCGAACGCGATGGACGCGAATCGAGCGTCAGGTTTACATGTAAAGTCAATGGAAAGGTATGGCAAGCCGTTAGAGCCATAAATCGCCACTTTCCTAACCCGTTTGGTTAAGAAATGGCGTAAAAAACGCCGTTTAATTATTCAAAACGCCGAAAAAAGCGGCGTTCTGTTCCGACAAACGCCGCTTTTTCCGCCACTCGGATGGCGCCCTGAACTCACCATCCGAGTGACGTAAAAAGCGGCGTTCAAAGACAGACGGAAACGCCGTTTTTTACGCTACTCGGCACAAAACGCCGTTTTTATGCATCTTTGAACGGCGTTTTTTACGGCGTTCTCTGCCAGCTGTAACGGCGTTTAAAACGGCGTTTTATTGAAATTATGCAGGGCACTCCCCATGGTTCCCTCATCCAGTTACTTTCAACTCATTTCACCCAATCAAAGAAGAGGAAGTGCAGACCACACTAATGCATCACCGATTCACCTTGCTGCTAAGTGATTGCCTATTCAGTACCAGTGCTTGTCACAGTATTCACTTGTATAAGATAAGATAAGATAAGATAACCTTTATTAGTCCCACACGTGGGAAATTTGTTAATTTATTATTAATATATATTAATAATATATATAATATAATATATTATTATAATATAATATATTATTATAATATATTATATAGTATTATAATCCCACTATGCATTTTGATGTGTTTAAGGCATGATCGAGCAAACAAACGACAGAATACTTTTTCTGAAACCTTAACTGTGTTACCTGTTATGGCAGCTAACAGGTAATGAGCAGAGCTAGCTCTGCTCATTGGACACTCGGCGCATGGCTCCTTTGTTTACATTAGGGATCAGCTGTTAGCGCTGCGCCCTGCAGCTGCGCTACCGGCAGACAGACCCTACATCCCCAGTGAGGGAAGAAACGGGGGTGATGTCTCCCGAGGACACCTCACACACCATCTCTCCTTCCTGTAATCACTTTAAATGTGAGATCGCTCCCTGTCCTCCCGTACTGGTGATGGTGAAGCCAAGGAGAGAAGGCCCAAGTAATAAACACCCGTTTCAAAGAACCGACCTGTGTCTGTGTTGTTGTGAATTCTGTCATGGAAATCAAGTGCATTTCCTGAAAGAAATCTCTCCTTCCGGGTCATCCGTGGATCGAGTTTCCTTCGAGACGTGGGCAGCGATAAGCAGAGTTTTGTATAAGATTAATTATTCAAAGTAAGCTCAGGTATGCCGTTCAGCGGGTTAGTTACAGCGCCGGGAGTAGCCTGGGAGAACAAAATGATACAGAGACTGCTTTCCCAAAATCAACTCAAAGTTTATTCTTCTGTGCAGGGTTTTTATAGGCAGAAGGGTAAAAGTGTGTCAACAAGTTTCAAGTTACAAGTTACAACCATATAAGGAAGTTCCCCCTAGCTCTGAAAGGGGCCTTCTATAATCTCAACATACTTTTGACAGGTCCATTAAACACTAGACAGTTAGAATCCTTTAGTGATATAAGTTTGCACATGGTAGAATACTGCATGTAGTTATTTGCATTAGGAAATGTTTAACCATATATACCTAAAGGCACATAATCAATGGTGTGTGATCTTTAGCAGGCTGCAAACTTGATGTGCACTCGAGGAATGCACTGTCCCACTATACCACAGCAGGATCAACGCAGCTATGCCTGTTCCAGTTTAAGTGCCTTCTTTACATATAGATGAACTGTTGGATTTTCCAGACCAGCAGGCCAAAGGAAGTTGCCCGTGGGGTCGCAGCAAGAGGAGATGAAGTTCAAACAAAGGGCATTGCAGAAACAGGGTCCTTTGTATAATATCATCAAAAAAGGTATTCAGTACATGCTCCCAAAATACTAAAATATCTAACATTTCCTGTATCCTTTGGGGCAACAGACCTGAGTCACACTTTTAGAGAAGTACCTGGTGAGGTGGATTGAGAGGAATATCCATGATGCATGGCAGTTTGTTCACTCACTTCCTCTCCACCACAGCTTCCGAAGTGCAGCCAATCACAGAGCTTGCTCTCCTGATCCAAGAAGAACACATCAAAGTGCGCTGCACAAGCTTGCTCACAAAAAATAGCCTGCCCATACACTGCTTGTGTACAGCTTCTGTTTTGATCTTCCAGTTCAGCAAATGTATATATGTGGGTGTCCAGGTATTTGTGCTCCTCCACCACATCATATCAGTGGGTTCAGTATCTTATACTTTTGTCAAGATAATGCACACTGCAGCCGACAGTTATCAGAAAGAAGCCATTACCAAGTTACATGGATTCTTTTTTTTTTTATAACTTCATGTCATATAAACTAGTTATGTTATGTGCAACACTGTCCACGGATGACCCGGAAGGAGAGATTTCTTTCAGGAAATGCACTGATTTCCATGACAGAATTCACAACAACACAGACACAGGTCGGTTCTTTGAAACGGGTGTTTATTACTTGGGCCTTCTCTCCTTGGCTTCACCATCACCAGTACGGGAGGACAGGGAGCGATCTCACATTTAAAGTGATTACAGGAAGGAGAGATGGTGTGTGAGGTGTCCTCGGGAGACATCACCCCCGTTTCTTCCCTCACTGGGGATGTAGGGTCTGTCTGCCGGTAGCGCAGCTGCAGGGCGCAGCGCTAACAGCTGATCCCTAATGTAAACAAAGGAGCCATGCGCCGAGTGTCCAATGAGCAGAGCTAGCTCTGCTCATTACCTGTTAGCTGCCATAACAGGTAACACAGTTAAGGTTTCAGAAAAAGTATTCTGTCGTTTGTTTGCTCGATCATGCCTTAAACACATCAAAATGCATAGTGGGATTATAATACTATATAATATATTATAATAATATATTATATTATAATAATATTATATTATATATATTATTAATATATATTAATAATAAAATTAACAAATTTCCCACGTGTGGGACTAATAAAGGTTATCTTATCTTATCTTATCTTATACAAGTGAATACTGTGACAAGCACTGGTACTGAATAGGCAATCACTTAGCAGCAAGGTGAATCGGTGATGCATTAGTGTGGTCTGCACTTCCTCTTCTTTGATTGGGTGAAATGAGTTGAAAGTAACTGGATGAGGGAACCATGGGGAGTGCCCTGCATAATTTCAATAAAACGCCGTTTTAAACGCCGTTACAGCTGGCAGAGAACGCCGTAAAAAACGCCGTTCAAAGATGCATAAAAACGGCGTTTTGTGCCGAGTAGCGTAAAAAACGGCGTTTCCGTCTGTCTTTGAACGCCGCTTTTTACGTCACTCGGATGGTGCGTTCAGGGCGCCATCCGAGCGGCGGAAAAAGCGGCGTTTGTCGGAACAGAACGCCGTTTTTTTCGGCGTTTTGAATAATTAAACGGCGTTTTTTACGCCATTTCTTAACCAAACGGGTTAGGAAAGTGGCGATTTATGGCTCTAACGGCTTGCCATAGAAAGGCGCGATGACACGCGATTGCGGGCCCCGTGAGAATTCGGAAGCAGATTTGCGTTGCGAAAGCGCCAAAACGCGTGAAACGCGCGTCAGTGTAGCGCGTCTGGTGCGTTTGACTCACGAATAAAACCACGCGCATGAGTTTTTGTGTTGCATTTTGTGCATACGCGCGTTTCGCGTCTACCGCTCGAGTTGGAAAAAGCTGAACTCCAGCATCAAATCGCGCCGCGACAACCAATCAGGAGCCTGGTGACGTGGCTGTGACCTAGGTCAAAGGGGCAGATCCAGCCAAAGCCTTTAATCCGGTTGTTCAGTGATGACGTGATGAATCCTACTTCCGGGTCTAAAGTAGTCTGCGTTTAATATGGTTTTTGTGTTGTTAACATGTTTAATGTTTTGTATTTTCTTCTATTTGATCTCAAAAAGCTCCTAAAACAGTCAGTGATCCCTGTTGACCTCCCTCGGCTTTTATTACCACTAATCATTTATTTAAGCTCAGTTTTTAAAACCTTAGGATGTAACTACAGCCCAGCCCATGCAGCAGTATATTAATGACTAACCTCGTATTGTGGATGGATTATCTCAGTTGTTCTCCTGGCTGAAGTTTGGTCCTTTTACAGCATCCTGCCATGCGATTACATTTGTTTCTGACCACCAGAACACTAGGGATGGGTACCGGTGACATAAACGGTAGTAACCAGACCGAAAAGCAGCGCACATTTCGGTGCTTTATTTCGGTGCTTTTTTTTCCTGAGCTGTGATACACTTCTAGCCAATCATTTTATGTTTCCGAGGATAGTAGGCGGGGCCAGGTACGTACGTTCTGTTAGAGCAGAGCTACAGATTAAAAATGTCCAAGGCGAAGCGGTCAAAAGTCTGGCTGTACTTCACAGCAAAATATGCAAACTCAGCAGCCTGCAACAAGTGCTTTAAGCTGATACTGTGATACTGTCAAAGGAGGTAACACCAAGAATCCGATTAAACAGCTGGCGACGCATAGCGTTTTTTTTAAAAGCCGAGAAATGCGCCGTATTTGCTGCGAGACCTCACACCGTGCACGTCGGGTGGGTTGCCAGTTATCGGACCCGGAGCAACATCCCCCAAAAACCCGAAGAATAGAGTCCTGGCCCCTAGCCCTGCCAGTGTAGCAGAAATGATGATGGATGATGATGGCAGCAGCAGCCATTCTTCTCTGCATGAGTAGCTTATGTTGTTCGTGTGTAATTTACGTTGAGTAGGCTAACCACGTTATTATATTAATGCATGTAAGGTGAACTAGCAAACACCATCATAGCTACATGCGGCTGTCTTCTTGTTTGATGGCAGATACTCCCTTCACCCTGGCCAAAAAGGCTAAAATGACCAAAGAAAAAGTGGGAAACAGTAAACATGAGAGGTTTTGGACAAAGTTTGTGTTTTTTCCATTGTTTAAGCACTGCTTCCAGCCAAGAGTGATGCCATATATGCCACATAGCTGCAGAAAAGGCACACATTGTTATCTTTTTACAAAAAAAACCAGCTGAACATGAGAGGTTTTTGGACCAATTTTGTGTTCTCCATTCTTTAAGCACCGGTTCGAGCACCGTTTAAGCACCGGCACCGTTTCAAAAGTACCGATTTGGCACCGGTATCGGATAAAACCTAAACGATACCCATCCCTAGAGAACACTCACGTTAACTTTTATCGAGTGGAAAAAAAGTTAGCTTGTTTATATTATGCTAACATAGCTGTGTCGCTAGCGGTCACGTAGCACATCATTATATACCAGCTAGCCCAACTTCAGTAACCCTACAAACGTCACTGCTGTTTAGTTTTCTGTCTTCATTTATGTTGGAAGTGATAACAGAGCTGTACGTTTGAATTTGTTTCCAAAACCCCGCAGTCAGGACATGCTATATTGTATTTAGATAGAAGCTAGCGAGCTAACTCCCTGCTAACTTCTAACTGCGTTAAATGTCATAAATTCCGTTTTCATGGATGCCTGGATGTTAAACTCAATTGTTACACCTGGTAGAGCAGAACGCTGATCATTTTATTAAAGATGAAAGACTTTAGACAGTTTTTCAACTCTCAGTAATGCCACAGTAATCGTTTGATATATGGACCTGCAGCGGAGTTTAGACCCAGACACGGCTAGTGACGTCAGACTGAACAACCGGATACTTCGATGGAGGGGAAGGCTAATCAATGCGGTAGCAAACAACTTGGAGCTGTACGACACCAGCTGCTTTCTGTACCGAGACAGGAATAAAAAGGACCGAGCTTGGAGGAAGATATGTGAAGAGATCGGGCAACCTGGTAAGTTCATTCATTTCTCTTTTGAAAGTTTTTACTGACCCGGGGAAACCGCACAAAAGCTAGCAAGCCACCGCTATTTTCCCACTGACGTACAAATACCGTTCTGCTTTTATGCATGTTGTCATTTAGGAATATATTTTATTGTTTATTAATAAACAGCACACAGTGGTCCCGCTGTTCATCCGTCACTGCTTCGCTTTTTTGCTGATTTTTTTATTGCACAGTACAGCATTGCATTCTGCAGCCTGTGATTGCCAAATCTCCTCCGTGCTGTGTCTCCTGCGCTTGCCTAATTTATCACGTTTGGTTTTGATAACCATCA